TACCTCGCTAGTCTAGTTAAACGCCAGATATTTTGTATCTCCGATTCAACATTATAAAATGTTACTAAATGATTAAAGGTACTACTCCAGGCGACGTTCGTAGTGGATTTCGTCACCCTTCTGGCTGACCCGATGAACTTACGCCCGGTAGACCTTTTGTCAGCGGTATACTTTTCTTTCTGTAAGGTTTCTTTTACGTAGAATTAAAACGATAATCGCACTATTAAAGTAATCAAACTAGTAATTAATATTCAGATATTCCGGGGGAGAATTTAGACAAACATTAATAGGTTACAGGTATCACTTTATTTACTCTTATATTCATTAGCGGGAACATTCGCGTCTGTGTGTTATTGTCATATTTTTGGTATTCATTGGTGAACGTTTATTGTGGGAAAAATTATACGATTTTATGTTGTGCTAAATTACGTTATTTAGAGAATCGGTAGTGATGTTGTTGTCATAAATATTAATAGTTCTAAAGTCGGTCAATGCTCTCAAGCAATAAATTAAGTCATTTAGATTTATGGCCAAAGGGCTGAATTGTAAAGTTTCGGGTGTCTGTAAAGATAAAAACACTTTCGGTTTTACTTTTAAATGGCGAACAGATGTAGATTAGTAGGGTAAATGCCTGGATTTGTATATATTTTGAAGTAAGTTTGCGGTTTAAAAAATGTGTTTTCTTCTTTCTTTGTAAAACAAAATTGGGTAGACAAATGTGTCATTTTAGCCGTACGGAATTTTAGTTTTGTGTATCGAATTTTCGAGAAAAAGGAGATATGTACAGCGGCGGGTAGAATCATGAATATTGAGGAGGGTCGTATTTATTTGTACATATCCACATATCTTTAGCGGGACATTACGCGGAAGTAGTCGGTATGTTTGTTATTTATTTAGAATAAATAGGTGAAATTGTGTTTGTGGACTAGCTAACGTATTCTCAGAACTGTGATTAATAACACTGATTTGTCAATCGACAGAGCAAAAGAGCATTGTGCCGAAAAAGACGCCTTAGGCCACCATAGACCGCCAGGGACCTCAATAGTAAGGGCCTAAAAATGGTATTTCCCTTGCGGCTATGTAAATTAAAGCCTGATAGAGGCTTGGATGGATCTCTACTGAGATACCCCAAAAGTGGGCCTGACGGGCATCCCCCTTTATATCAGGTGTTCTCCGATCGACCGTTTAGTGTTGTTCATACAGGACTGAGTATGTCGGTAAATTACGGCATTGGAATATTAGGGAAAGGCGTGACGCACGGTGAGGTAAATCTACACTCCGGTTTTTACACATATTAGAAATATTAAATTTGACCGACTTCAAAAAGGAAGAGGTTCTCATTTCGACGCAATATTTTATATCTCACAACACTCCTCGTGATACCGTTGTACTCTCTTTTATTAGACAATGCGTAATTCAGTAGTTCCGTGGAAACGTGTGATTATATATTAGGAGACAAACAAACATACCAAATTACTTCCGACTTTTATTTTACCCTTTTATGGGAACTAAAAGCTCTGAGGTTAGAAATGACACATTAGAAAGCCTACATAAACATAATGTTAAGCCTAAAAAGGGCACATAATTTAAATGTTCGGCTGTACAAAAGAATAGATGTTAAATAAACAGTATTCAAAATTAATCTCGGTGTTTCCTTTGTTCTTCCTCCATTACAGCTACATTGAACTCTAAACGAAATTCTGGGGGTTTTAACATCACTTCGTGGGGATCTACTAGACGAAATTTAGGCCAAGGTTATAAGTATTTGCAAAACTAGGTCAGGGTCCGGTCTGTCAAGTTACACATGTACATTGTTGGTGGTTTTTTTCTAAAAATAAAAGTAATTGAGAAATTACAGACGAAACAGATTTCTTTTACTGACTGTGCAATAAGATTCAGAAGTTCCGCTTTAAACATAAATGAAAATCTAATATTCTGATTTGTCAGCCACTCTTGTATTTTAATCTTTATCCAGCTAGCGTTTGGTGTTTTATATAACAACATACTGTTTATGAAGCATTGTCCATTATGATTAAGGATGGTTTATTAAGTTTTTTCAGTAATTGTGCTTTAAAACAATTCTCATTAGTCATTTCACCATGATAATCACTTAGCTTACTTTGTGACGCAAATATAGCCTCTGCTCCTTCAGTGAACCCATTTTCATTTCAAGCATTGAGTATAATGTACTTATAAATAAAAATATCGACTGAAGCATGTAATTATTTACGTACGGTTTATAGTCCCATTTTGAAAAATCTACATCTCATCAATAAAAACAAACTAAAATAAACCTGTTTCCTTTTCTTTCATGTAATTTCTTAAAAATAAGGCCCGTTCCACAGCAACATCGGAAAGTTCCATGAACCCTCGCCTTGGATCATCTTTTTTCAACATTTCTAAAAGCCTTAAAGAAAAGTGTATATCTTCAGTATAATTATTACCAAGACTTTGATGAATAGTCAGCTATTTTTATTTCATCTTATTCTCCAAAATATTTTAATATCAATTTGATGAGATATAATTTTGATATTAATCAATTGGTTATTAATGCCAAAATTATATAGAATTAAATTGTAAAGTATTCGAGGAATTTAGCAACTACAAAAATAGCAGAATATTAATCAAGGTCACTTAATGTCAGTTCGCGGGAAACGTCAACTTTGCAATGTTCTTTTGAAGCGCAAAAGCCTACTTTGGATAGTGATTGTAGAAAAAAATGTTTAGTGTAAGAGAAAGTGGAAAATTATTTTGTCTAAAAAATTCATATTTAAGTATTTCGACTGTTTCTTTTATTCATGTGGCAACAGCTCTATATTCTAAACCGTATCAGTTATCAAGACGAATATATCTGAAAAAGTTGGCTATTTGGGGAAACTTTATAGGGGTCGAAAAAATTACCATTCTCTAGTAATTTTTTTTGTATTTGCAAAAACAGAGTTAATTTAAAATATATAAAAAATAGAAATTGACAAGGGGGGTAGCCATGTGTGAGTTGAGGTAATTTTAAGGTGAAGGGGGAGAAAAAGTCCTTTATATCTCACAAGGAAAGTCAATGTTTAATTATTTAACAAAACATTGAGTGCGACCGGTTTCGAAGTGTCATCACTTCATCTTCAGGCTCGCCTAGTGGAAAGGAGAATATGTGGTGTAAGGTGTGTTAACACTTAGAGCAAACGATATATAAAATAGTAAAAAAGAGAAAACTCACCATACTCTCCATCCACTAGGGAATACTAAAAAACAAGTTTCATCAAATGTGGGGTGAAATAAATTGTAAAATGAACAAAGTTTACAAGTAATAAAAAGTTAAAAATATTTGAAAAACAAATATTAGTCAATTGAAATAGTAAAATTTAAAATATTCAAGACTATACAAAACAAATCACATACAATTAAACATATTAAAAGATAAGGCTTATTTTAAACAACCTTGTTTTTTCAAAAAACTAACATTTTTGAAAGGAGACCTGTCAAGTTAAGGCCTCTACAGGTGGTGGCAAGTATTAACAAAAAAATTCTTGGGTAAACCCATGACAGGGTATAGGTAATAAGATGTAAACTATGAGTGAAGAAATATTTATTATTTATTATATAAGATTTGGGCCATGAACCAATCACTTGGTGATCATTTCTATTTTGATCTATGTAATGTCCATATTAATACTAAAATCGATATGATTGTTAAATTATTGAAATTGTTGTAAATTAGATCCTAGATATTTATCTTTAACAATTATTGTTAAAATAATTTTAAAATAACTTTTTATTCGGGTTAAACACATAACCGATTAGATCATTCAATTGATGCAAGGATCTATTAGCTCAGATGGTTACAGCGTCAAAGTTATCAACTTTGTTATTTGATACCTGGCGAGCGACCGCGTTCAAATCCTGGCGGGGCCAGCTTTTTTGTTTTTTTTATTTTTTTATTTTTTTTTTTGTTTAAAAAATATGAAAATTGAATAAATACGATTATTGTTGATTATTTTTTTCTAATACATTTTAATTATTATAATAATAACCTGGTTTTACATTTTTTTATGAAATTATTTTGTGGTCGTAGAAAAAATTTTGTACATCACTTGTGTGAAAACTGATTTTCCACACTCGTAATGCATATACTATTTTAAAGAAAATAAATTAAGGAAGCTATTTATTAGTATTCGCCAAGCGCTTTGGGCTCTTAAATCATTACAGGGACAGTTTAAATGTAATAAGGATTAAATTTAATCAAATGGTACAATTCTAAGGTTCATGTATTTCTTTAAAAAGTTAAAAGTTTAAATAAATAACGAGGTTTGGTATTACAAATTTACAGTGTATAAAAAATTTAATGAATTATTATTTTGCCAATTATTGCATTAAATAAATCAAAAATTGTGAAACAATACTTTCGGAATGTTGTTAAGAAACTTTTCTTAAGAAATTTTTATATTCTTTTTTTTCTTCTTCTAATTTTAACATAATTTTGTTATGACAAAACGGGATATGTAAACTTGTTGACAAAATCCGCACATGCTATAGCTTTCCATGATTGAGAGTTTCTGGTGAAGATGGGTGTGCGTATGGACGCCGTTAAAAAATTTCCAGGGTAGCAAAACTTATAGGCAGGGTTAAAACGCTGCAGGCTACAGTCGAAAGATATGGCGAAAAAATCAAAAACCACAGACGACCCACCTGGACCTCGTGTGGCGGCGCACATGGGTGTGCTACAGAGTTGACAATTCGTTATAAAACAACAACAAGCATTTTATTTATGTAGAGTAACGCATTTTGTTCGGTTCATGAACCGTGCACTTCATAGAGAAGCTGCCCTAGCTATGTTTACACAAGATATACGAAACACCCTGTTTAGGGTCATTACTTTTTTGCCGCTGATTAAAACACGATAATGAAATCACTTCTTTAATGTAACCGAATAACTTAATCGTGATTAGCATTAAATTCTACCTTTTTTTTAAAGTACATACATAATTCTAATTGGTATTATTTTTTAGTACCATCTGAAGTTCAGCATATTCAGATTATTAAGAGCTTTGATTCCATTAAGCTAAGCTGGGAGGAACCTATTGAAACAAATGGTGAAATTGTTGGTTACGAAATCAGTTACAGAGTAAGTATATATATTTAATATTGTAACTGGAATTAGAAAAATGGATTGTAGGTGTTCTATTAAAACACTTTCTTAAGCATATCTCCAGACTAATTAAAGATCACAATTTTTCGAATTCTAAAAATAAACACATCACAATTGCCCTACGAAATTAGAAAATCCCTCCTCACAACTAACTGGACAAAATGCTTACATTTCCTAATGACCAGCTCTTTAGTATTAGTCAAATTCTAAATTTGAGACAACTTTATTGTCGAAGAATATTTTTAGCTATCTTCAATAATAAAATTGAACTCACAGAAATCGAGCATCAGTGCTACACACGTAGACGAGATCTAAGACGCGATTGTGTCTATAAACTAGCCAAGCAAACACTTTAACCGTAACATATATAAGATATTAATTAGATAAGTTTAAGATATTTTTTTGTAACAGTAGAAATATGTAGATTAGGAATGTACTAAAATAAGTCACAAATACATCACAAACAAAGCTCTAGATTTAGAACTTCTGTGATTAGCAGGCAAGGGGGGGGGGGGCAGTTGCCCCCCCTGGCTTTTACTTTACTTTACAACGCGTAATGGCTGTATGTACTAAAATTTAGCCTTAAATTAAGTTTTTAATTAGTTGACTTGACAACAACCGAATACAGCAATTCTACTAAAAATCACGAAAAAACACAATAAAACCTGCAAAATCAAACACAAGCGAAATTTGTCCAAGGTGATAATGCAAAGTTGTCGCTAACTAAAAACAAAATGGTACAGACCGTTGTGTCAACTTTTTCTTAGAAAAACTGCACAACATTTCAACGCATTTTTAATACTAAATTTAGTAGAAAATAGAACAAGTTCCAATTAATTTATTAATTTTTTAGTACTAAATTTAATACTAAATTTGCTGTTTGCCCCGTGAATTTTTTTAGTACTTAAAAAATGCATTAATTTACCTCTAAATTTAGTATCGTAACATACAGCCTTAATATATGAATTACTGGTATTTCTTTGGGTAGGTACTATGTGCCACAGTTTGACAACACTGCATGCAGTAAAATTACATAACTAACACAATTACACAACTGGCACTGGCTCATATTGTCGATTGTCGTCGTGCACGCATAACAATAAACACAAGGCATAAGGAAATAGAAGAAATAGGTAAACATGACAGGTGTAGAAATAAATGCCACGAATTATGGACAGCAATCTCATAAAAATAATATTCATGCTAATACAGTTGACGAATATTATAGGTTAAATATATTTATTCTATATCCATATCTTACACGTACCTATACATTTTACTTTTTTTTTTTTTAGTAGGTAATGTTAAAATTTAAAATACCCGTATCTATTATAGTTGCAACCCTGTCTGAATTAGTTATGCTATTTTAATTTAAGTATTGTTTGTTCAAATAGTTATTCGTTAATAAAAATCTTTCACCAAACTATTTCCACATTATTTTCTCTAATAGATAAAAACAAAACAAAAAGCAATAGCAGTTGCTATGTTGTAAATTGTAAAAATACTAGCAGAAAAAAACAGTGTAAATTATATAAATTTTCAGTAGCAAAATGGAAATTAAATCAAAGAAAAAAATGGATACCTGTACAATAAGAAGAAAAAACCTTTATTTATGTAATAATAACAGTAATACTGGAAATAGTAGACATCAGAAAATTGACAGGTTTTAAATAAACAATAAATTATTATTTTACGATGTTCAACATCCCTTAACTCTTAAATGCTCAGCAAGGATTAGATTTCTACCTTTGAATATTGTGTGTGGCTGAAATGCAATCTTGTGACTTATTGATAGGAAATCAATTTTAATCATTAATTTTTATGGGTTCTTTCGAACTAAAAATGAAAAAAATATAAATTATAATCGCAAATTTACCAATTATTTTTGGTAATACGTTTTGATAATACGTTATTATATAATGGTAATGTTTTTATTTTCACATTATTTAACCTATTCTTCAATGACAACTTATTAGGCTTAGGCAACATATCATACATTTTTTTTAGCTGAAGTAATAAAAATATATAATAATAATTAATTTTTTCACTTATTTTACAAATCCATATACTTTGATTAAAATCAAAATATATATTTTTTAAGTAGTGATTCCATTAAAAATTGTATTGTCCGTATACGCAAATATCGTCCGTTAGTTCATGAATTAGTTGGCGCTGCTGACACGCACATAGCGAATAATGAATGAAAATAGGCTGACTGCGCTTTGCATGATGAGCGTACATCGAAAAACTAAAAAGAAATCATGTTTTCTGTTATCGATTATTTTAGGTAGAGGAAGAAGAAATTAAAAATTTGAGTTTTACTAGTGTTCGTCGACGTGTTTGTGTGTTTTTTGTTTTTGTATTTCTATAAATATTTTATTTTTTTTAATATTATGTATGGCTCTGTCTTCTTGTTCATTTTTTTCTTTTATTTCATACCTTCTGTTTGTTTTTTAAAAATATGTGTTTTAAGTTTCTTGTTTATTTTATTTTAGTTTTTGTCTTTTTTGTTGGGTTATTTTATTTATTAGAAACTTTTGTTAATTTGTATTACTCTTTTATTTTTCATTTTCTTTGTTTTTCAACAAATAAACATTCTAATTTTTTTCAAAATTTTTCCCCTCCCTATAGAATTGTGTAACGATGCTCATGGGCTTGTTGCTACATCCAACTTAACATTAACTAGGTTTTATAATTTATTAAAAATTGTTACAGCTAATTTAGTGAAATTACATCTAATTTAGTTAAATTTGATATAACTAATAATTCAAATTTTTTGGGGTTCAGTTGCAATAAAATAGGTTAAAGTCAAAGAAAACAAACAAACATAAAGAAATGGGTGGCTCTATGTTTGAAAATTGGTTTCAGAACATTATAGAAAAAATTCCAGCCAGTTGTGTTATTTTTTTGGATAAAATTCATCCTATCACAGTCGATTAGAGGTGTCACTACCTACAACAAAACGAAAAAAAAGATAAAAAAATATTACCAGCTTCCTAAATCATTGAAGGCAGAATTACTCAGTAAGGCAACATAAAATCAAATTTAAAATAGTATATTATTAAACGAGCAATTTATGGTAGCCATTATTCACCCGAGTGAATAATGGCCATAAATTGCGAGTCTAATACTATACTTTGTCCACGACCATTATGGTTTCTTTATTAAATAAAAGTTATGTGTAGAATGGAAAGTTTTTATTAAACATAGGTAACTAACTGTTGTTTTTTAGACTTTTCGATTCTTCGATTTTTCGATTTTTCGATTTTTCAATTTTTCGGTTTTTCGATTTTTCGATTTTTCGATTTTTCGATTTTTCGATTTTTCGATTTTTCGATTTTTCGATTTTTCGATTTTTCGATTTTTCGATTTTTTGATTTTTCGATTTTTCGATTTTTCGATTTTTCGATTTTTCGATTTTTCGATTTTTTCGATTTTTAGATTTTTAGATTTTTAGATTTTTCGATTTTTCGATTTTTCGATTTTTCGATTTTTCGATTTTTCGATTTTTCCATTTTTCGATTTTTCGATTTTTCGATTTTTCGATTTTTCGATTTTTCGATTTTTCGATTTTTCGATTTTTCGATTTTTCGATTTTTCGATTTTTCGATTTTTCGATTTTTCGATTTTTCGATTTTTCGATTTTTCGATTTTTCGATTTTTCGATTTTTCGATTTTTCGATTTTTCGATTTTTCGATTTTTCGATTTTTCGATTTTTCGATTTTTCGATTTTTCGATTTTTCGATTTTTCGATTTTTCGATTTTTCGATTTTTCGATTTTTCGATTTTTCGATTTTTCGATTTTTCGATTTTTCGATTTTTCGTACCACGCAGAGTTAAATCCGATTGAATTGATCTGGTCACAATTAAAAGTTTATGTCTCCCAAAAATTTGGTCAATATTTGGTGATGGCATTTGCTCGATTTTAAAGTCGGTTTTTTTAAAATGACTTTTATTACTTGTATTGCACTCGTCTTTTATTCAGACTATAGCTCACGGAATTCGCCCTCAAGTCATTTGCGAGAAACAACGCACGGGCGAGAAGCCACGAAAGCGCCGGCGTCGCACAGTGCAGCCGGAGCCTTGATTGTGCGGCCAAAATTCAAAATAAAAAGTTTCTAGTTGAGGTTTTTTCATCATTGGGTTGGTTAAAGGGATCCCCCAAGAAACGAAAACCATTTCAATAATGTTTATTTCCCTAAATCCCCTCCTCAATAGCAGTCGGAATGTTGCTTTAATCCGGACGCTACACTATTGTAGTCATAGAGCGAACGGTAGACGCTTCTTTACGATCGTGTGAAAGTTCCGAAAATAAACAGAACCAAGCAGGACAAAATGGATTCTTCAACTAAAGGTTAATTAAATATGTGCAACAATTTCTGGGAAGTAATTGTTAAATAAAAAATTGTTAGAAATAGAAATAGAAAGTTATTTTTTTTTTGTATTATTATTAATAAAATTTGAGTTTAGATTGCCGTACATTACTGCTTTAACCGGTTTTGCAGGTTATACATAAAAGTAATATCTAGTAAATAAAACAAAATTTAGCTTACGTGTGTGAAGTTAGCATCTCAAATCTCAGCATTTCATATTTTAAGCAGAGTTCTTATGGTATCCGAAATAGTTCTATAGTTCCTGATACTTATTATTAATAGTTCTGTCGAATTTAGTACCGAAAAATGTAATTTAAGAAATGAGATGCTAACGGTCGGAAGTTAGCATCCCAATATAATAAGTTAAATAAAATTTAAAAAATCCGACGGTAAATCGATAGTTTACGATTAGTTTTAGAGTTCTTGTTAGTTTGTATAGCTAAATTATTTCATTTATAGTCCTGGCCCTCCTAAAATAATTATAAATATTTATTATACATATAAATTCTAGACGTTAGTAAAATGCTGTCATATTATGACAACCTCTATGATACATAATGCTTCTAAATAACAAAGCTTCTAAATGATAACTTGACCATCTT